AGGGAATTCCCAGGTTTTTCTTTTCCAGCGGGCGAGTTTTCTTTTCCGGAGCTGCCCCGCTCGGTGCGTTACTGTTGCAGTAACTGGGAGCCGGGCTGGCATTCCCGGACTTTTTGAGCAGAATCCCGAGTTTTTGGGCAGAATCCCGAGTTTTTGAGCAGAAAAGCTGCGAGATTCCCAGGAAAAGGAGGAGGCGCAGGTGGAACGCGCGGCAGCGGCGGGGCACAGAAGTTCCCTCCGCTCTTCCCGAGGGGACTCCAGGTTGGATTTTTGTCCTTCCCGAGGGGACTCCAGGTTGGACTTTTGTCCTTCCCGAGCTCCGGCCGCGGCTCCTTCCCTGGATCCTCCCCTTGGCCGCTCCCCCGGGCCCGCCCGCCCCTTCAGAGCCCTCTCGGCTCCACCAAATCCCTCTCGGCTCCACCAAATCCCTCTCGGCTCCACCAAATCCCTCTCCGGGCGGCCCAACTTCCATTCCCAACCTCTCCACCATGGGTAAGAGCTCCAGCCCCGCATCCAGGCGCGGATCCCGCCGGGATTTGGGATCGGGGTGGGGGGTTCAGCCTTTCCCGTTCCTTTTTCATCGAACCCTCCGCGGGTTTGGAACGAGGAGCTCCGATCCCACCCCCGAACGCCTGTTGGGCTCTAATTAAGTGTTTAAAACCCAAATAAACGCTCGCTGATCGCGGGCACGGAGCGCTGAGGGAGATTGTTGGGGGAGGGAGGGCCTGAATTGACCTTTTTTGCTTCTATTTGATGGGTATTTTTAAGGACAGACCCCTCCGATTTCCATTTTGGCTCCGGGGACAGGAAGCAGAGGGAGGGACTAAAAGAGTTTGGGCGCTCGATTGTGAAATGTTGTGCGGTTTGCCAGGAATTCTGTCACCTTGGGGCTGCAAAACAGGGAAGGGTTGGAGGGTTTGGGTAAAAAACATGGTTCTGCCCGGGTTAAAAACCATCGATTGGGTAAAAAACCAACGATTCTGGCTGGGCAGGAATGTGTATCCTGGTGGGAATGTTGGTGCTCAGCAAAGCACCAAGATATAAATGTTCCATCGTAAAAAAAAAATCCTGAAAAAAACCCAAAAAATCCCCACTCCTGCAGCATTTCTGTGCAGGGAAAGCCCAGAGGCTTCCCAGGAATAACCACGGGGGTTGTTCCCCTTGGGAATTCTGTTGGGAATTCTGTCTCCTCAGTGCCCAGCAGCTCCCTCAAATACTGGACACCCTTTTCCCACATCCCAGACCTCTGGCACAGACAAAAGTGCTCTGAAAAGGGGAGGCTGAACTCCTGGAAGGCCCCAACTTCCCATTTTTCCTGAGGATGGAGCATCACCCCATGGATGTTTCCAGGAGCTGGAATGACCCTGGAGCCAGCAATTAAAAAAACTGGAGTTCAAATTCCTCCCCCTCTCCGTGCAAACCCCACAGTCCTCTTACAGATGTTGAAATAATTGGATTTTTTTCCTCTCTCTCTCCAATCAGCAAAATGTGGAGCCTGTGGACCAGGATATGCAAGTCCTCTGGATGCCATGAAAGGCAAGTTCTGGGACAGCTTTCCCAAAAATCCAGGCCAGCAGCAGTGGAATTGTTTTGGAATTAGGGGAAGGCAAGGTGGATGCCTCCCTGAGAGGCATGTGTGAAATATAGAAAGTATATGAAATGTATAATGTAAAATATATAAAGTATATGAATGTATAAAGTATGTGAAATATATAAAATATATGAAATATATAATGTGAAATATATAAAGTATATGAATATATAAAGTATGTGAAATATATAAAATATATAAAGTATATGAAATATATAAAGTATGTGAAATATAGAAAGTATATTAAATATATGAAGTATGTGAAATATATAAAATATATAAAGTATATGAAATATAGAAAGTGTGTGAAATAAAGTATATGAAATATATAAAAAATATGTGAAATATATAAAGTATGTGAAATATATAAAATATATGAAATATATAAAGTATATGAAGTATATGAAATATATAAAGTATATGAAATATATAATGTGAAATATATAAAGTATATGAAATATATAAAACATATAAAACATACAGAATATATAAAAGATATAAAATATATAAAATATATAAAATACATAAAATACATAAAATATATAAAATACAAAGGCCTCCTTTATAAAAAGCAAAAAGCAAAGGCAACCCTCAGCTTTACCTCCTGGGAAGAATCCCAACTCCCAGACAGGTGAAACCCTCACGTTTTTTTTTGGTAAAACTGAGTTTTTTTGGTACCTCTGTGCCCCCAGGTCCCCGGGAGGAGCTGCTCTACCTGCCCTGCATCTACAGGAACACGGGCATCCAAAAACCTGACTACCTGGCCACGGTGGATGTGGACCCCAAATCCCCCCACTACTGCCAGGTACCTGCTGGGGAGGGAATATTTGGGTTCCCAGAGTCCTTGACAAGTAAATATTTGAGTGGGGAAAGCCACAAAAACCTCTGCTTTAAATTTTCTTACTCCAAAATTAACATTTCTCCTTTTTCTCGAGGCCCTCCCAGGGCATTTTTAATATTTCTCTTTTTTTTATTTGTGACATTTACAACATTTATTTGTTGTAATAATACAAACGTTCAATAATAATACAAATAAATACAAAACAACAAATAGCAGGTGAACGTTCAGCCTTGGAAGGTTTGAGAATTCCTTGGGACATCTCACCCCCCCACACAGCAGGAATCACAACCTAATCCCTGGATTTCACCGATTCCTGCCTGACAAACAGCCCTTTCCTGCTCCTTTTGTGCCTTCCCACTTGGACACAAGGACCCATTTCCTTGCCATTGAGACCCTTTTCTTTGCCTGGGGGAAAAAACCCCAAAGCAGGCTGGGTTTGGAGCCAGGATTTCCAGGATTTCCAGGATTTCCAAGTGATCCGTGGAAGCAGGCTGGCTTTGGAGCCCTGATTTCCAGGATTTCCCTCATTTCCAGGTGATCCATCCAAGCAGGCTGGCTTTGGAGCCCTGATTTCCAGGATTTCCCTCATTTCCAGGATTTCCCTCATTTCCAGGTGATCCATCCAAGCAGGCTGGATTTGGAGCCCTGATTTCCAGGATTTCCAGGTGATCCATGGAAGCAGGCTGGGTTTGGAGCCCTGATTTCCAGGCTTTCCCTCATTTCCAGGCTTTCCCTCATTTCCAGGCTTTCCCTGATTTCCAGGTGATCCACCCTGGGTTTGGAGCCCTGATTTCCAGGATTTCCCTCATTTCCCTGATTTCCAGGTGATCCATCCTGCGTTTGGAGCCCTGATTTCCAGGTGATCCATGGAAGCAGGCTGGGTTTGGAGCCCTGATTTCCAGGATTTCCAGGATTTCCCTGATCCACCCTGGCTTTGGAGCCCTGATTTCCCTGCTTTCCCTGTTTTCCAGGTGACCCACCCTGGCTCTGGAGCCCTGATTTCCCTGCTCTCCCTGTTTTCCAGGTGATCCACCGCCTGCCCATGCCCAACCTGCAGGATGAGCTGCACCATTCGGGCTGGAACACCTGCAGCAGCTGCTTTGGGGACTCCAGGAAAAGCAGGAATCTCCTCATCCTTCCAGCCCTCATCTCCTCCAGGATCTACGTGGTGGATGTGGGAACAGACCCCAGGGCTCCCAGGCTCCACAAGGTTCACATCACAGTTTTATTTCTCATTTCTTTTTTATACCCAAGAGATTCCAAGGATTCCAGCTTCCAGAACATTCATGGAAACCTCTGTCCAGCATTAATTGGGAACTGGTGGCAGCTTTTATTGATAAAGTCCACACAAAACCATTGTCCCAAAGAAACACAAGTAAATGTGGTGGATTTTAAATTAACTTAAAATTAATTTTAAAAAGTTCCCAACCTGCCTCTGCAGTATTTCAGTCACAGTTGTTGTTTTTGACTACAAGAGGCACGTTTGGCTGACTGTGTTTTCCAGGGCTAAATTCAAATTTCTGTTGGATTTTCCATGATCAAACCCAGAAGGGATTTGTAACCCTTGGTTCCCAAACACGTGCTTTTTTGAACAGCAAAAAATTAAGGAAACATTTTAAATATGTCAAAATGAACATTTCTTTACGTCTCTTTTTTCGTGGAATCGATTGAAATTTCCCCAAAATAAACCCTCTGCTGCCCCAGGGTTCGTTTGGCAGAGACACAGACCTGGCAGAGGGAGGTTTGGGTCTGAATTCCTGGTTTTCCCACGTGGAATTATTTGGGTTTTCCTGCCTGTGCCTCCCCGTTCCAGGTGGTGGAGCCGACGGAATTGTTCGGGAAGGGGAACGTGGCCAACCCTCACACCTCCCACTGCCTGGGCTCGGGGGACATCCTGATCAGCTGCCTGGGGGACCCTGCTGGCAATGGCAAAGGTGCTGAGCCCCCCCTCGGGCTCCAGGGAAAGATTCCTGGCCCTCCTTGCTCCAGGGAAAGATTCCTGTCCCTCCTCACTCCAGGAAAGGATTCCTGTCCCTCCTTGCTCCAGGGAAAGGATTCCTGTCCCTCCTTGCTCCAGGGAAAGGATTCCTGGCCCTCCTTGCTCCAGGGAAAGATTCCTGTCCCTCCTCACTCCAGGAAAGGATTCCTGGCCCTCCTTGCTCCAGGAAAGGATTCCTGGCCCTCCTTGCTCCAGGAAAGGATTCCTGTCCCTCCTTGCTCCAGGGAAAGGATTCCTGTCCCTCCTTGCTCCAGGGAAAGATTCCTGGATCCTTCTCCCCAGGCCCGGGCTGCAAAAGCAGAACTTTTAAAATCTTTATTTTAAGAGCCCAGAACAATCCCAGACATCATTTATCCACCTCTAAATACACTTTTCAGGTTGTTCCAGGTTGCATTTCTCATTTTAAAACTTCAGGAGGGTTCTTGCCTGTAAATTTTGTTACTTTTTCCACCTGATAGCTGGGAGGAATTAGGAGAAATATGGGAGGAAAGGAATCCTCCTCCTTTTCCCAGGGGTTTTCCTACTGGGTCAGAGGCAAACATGTCCCTCAGTAGGTGGTTATTGGGAGTAGGATTTATCAGGACTGAGTAGGAATTATCAGAATTCAAGGATACTGGTGGCAATCCAAGAAAACCAGAGGTGACTCCTCCAGGAGTCCAGCAAACTGGACCTTAAAAAAATTCATTGTCATGTGATAAAAGCCTCTAAAAACCCAGGGTTTGTTTGCTTTAGGCCACAAGAGCAAAACCAGAATCACAAAACATTCACTGAAGTACAAAAGCAAAGCCAGAATCACAAAATATTCCTTGAAGGACAAAAAGCAAAGCCAGAATCACAAAATATTCCTTGAAGGACAAAAAACAGAACCAGGATCACAAAATATTCCTTGAAGGACAAAAAACAAAGCCAGGATCACAAAATATTCTTTCAGTGTAGGGTTGCATATCAGAAAACAGCTATTTAAATTATTTCTCCTCTTTAAAGCTTTGTGAATGTCTCCCAACACTTCTTTTTGGGGTCTGTGCCAGGGAGCTTTATCCTGCTGGACGGAGAGACCTTCGAGGTGAAAGGAAACTGGGAAAAGGGGGAGAAGGTCCCTTCCCTGGGCTACGACTTCTGGTACCAACCCCGGCACAACGTCCTGCTGAGCACGGAGTGGGGGGTCCCAAAGGCCCTGAGGGACGGGTTTGACCCCGCTGACGTGGAGAAAGGTGAGGAAAAATAAAATTATTCCTTAAAAATGAAATTATTCCTTCAAAATGAAATTATTCCTTCAAAATGAAATTATTCCTTCAAAATGAAATTATTCCTTCAAAATGAAATTATTCCTTCAAAATGAAATTATTCCCTCAAATCCTCCGTTAAATGAACGTTTCCCGTGCCGGTTCCTGCCCCACCCTGATCTCCCAGGGCTCTACGGGCGCCACATCAACGTGTGGGACTGGAGCAGCCACAGGCTGCTGCAGGCCCTGGATTTGGGGAAGGGCTCCATCCCTCTGGAGATCCGGTTCCTGCACGAGCCGGCGGCGGGCGAGGGCTTCGTGGGCTGTGCCCTGAGCGGGGCCGTGCAGCGCTTCCACAGGACACAGGTGGGGGACCTGGGGGCCTCTGCATCCCACAGGGAATCCCATCCCCGGGGATGGGAGCCTGGAAGGGGTTGGGTTGGGTTGGGGGAGCCTCTGCATCCCACAGGGATGGGATCAGGAACCTCTGCATCCCACAGGGATGAGATCCTGGAAAGGGGTTGAGTTGGGTTGGGGGAGCCTCTGCATCCCACAGGAATGGGGTCAGGGAAGGGTTGGGTTGGGGGAGCCTCTACATCCCACAGGGATGGGAGCAGGAGCCTCTGCATCCCACAGGGATGGGATCAGGGACGGGGTTGGGTTGGGGGAGCCTCTGCATCCCACAGGGATGGGAGCAGGAGCCTCTGCATCCCACAGGGATGGGATTCTGGAAGGGGTTGGGTTGGGTTGGGGGAGCCTCTGCATCCCACAGGGATGGGGTCAGGGAGGGGTTGGGTTGGGTTGGGTTGGGTTGGGAGAGCCTCTGCATTCCCACAGGGATGGGCTCACCAGGGATGGGATCCTGGAAGGTGCTCCCTGCTGGCCTTTGGAAGTGTGGGATTTGTCCCCAGGGTCACTGGGTGCTCCCTGCTGGCCTTTGGAAGTGTAGGGGAGACCTGAAGGTAGAGGAGGGAGGGACAGGGGAGTGTAGCCTGGAGACCCCAGAGCACTTTGAGATACTGTTCCATAGGAAAACCAGTACCATTCCCTCTGGGAATACTGTTACCACCCTCGGTAACACTCCCTGTGTGAATCCCCCCCTGTGCAGCCCCTGGTAAATAAATCCCACTGCCCAGTTCCCCTCCCTCTGCCCAGCCCAGCTGAGCCCTCTGGAGCTCAGCAAAGCAACCACCAGGAGCTGGACCCTGAGGACCCTCGTGGGTCCCTTCCAGCTCGGGATATTCCAGGATTTAGTGGCTCCTCAGGTAAGAATTCCGTGTTCCCTCCTGCAGAAAGGGGACTGGGCAGCGGAGAAGGTGATCGAAGTGCCCAGCAAGAAGGTGCAAGGATGGCTCCTCCCGGACATGCCTGGTTGGTGGGACCGTGCTGGGAAAGAAATGGGATGTTCTCCTCATCAGTTCCCTGCTCCAGAGCAGCTTTTGGCCTCATTTTGTCCTCAAATGGCAAAAAAAAGACCAAATTTAGGGGGGGGAGGTTCTGAGGTGACCGGATGAGGTTGTGCTCTGCTCCCACGCTGCTCCAATGCTTGGGGTCACTTTCTCCAGAAGAATCCTTGGGAGTTTGGGCCTGAGGGTGTCCAGGAATATATCCTGGGAATGCTTGGAGCATCCTGAACCTGCTTGGAGCAGGCCCTGGGATTCCAGGGTGGGTCGTGTCCCTCCTGCTCTCATGACTTTGAGCTTCTGTGAGCAGAGCTTTGGCAGAGAGCAGGACTGGGGACTGGGGCTGGTTTGGTGCTGATCCTGCTGGCTCAGCCCTGGGATTCCCTCCTGCAGGCCTCATCACTGACATCCTGATCTCCCTGGACGACAGGTTCCTGTACTTCAGCAACTGGCTGCACGGGGACGTGCGGCAGTACGACATCTCCGACCCCCGGCGGCCCCGCCTCGTGGGGCAGGTGAGGACAGACCCCCCCTGCCCACCTGGGGGTCAGCTCAGGAGGGGGGGTCCTCCTTTCTCCAAGAGGAGAAACGCCCCACTTTGCTTTGGCTCCGGGGTTTTAGCCCCGTTCTCTGCCTGTTCTCTGCCTGTTCTCCCCCCTTCCCTGCCCACAGGTCTTCCTGGGGGGCAGCATTGCCAGGGGGGGCCCTGTGACTGTGCTGGAGGACAAGGAGCTGCAGTGTCAGCCAGAGCCCTTTGTCATCCAGGTCAGTGTTCCCAGCTGATTCTAATCCACTGGAAGGTGCCCAATATTTAAAGGTAATTAAACCTTGATGGCCCGGGCAGGTGCCACGTCCGTGCCAGGGCCTCACCACCCTCACAGGGAAGAATTTATCCCTGATATCCAACCTCAATCTTCCCTTCTCAGCCTAAAAAAAAAAGTCATGGAATTGTTAAGGTTGGCAAAGCCCTCCAAAGTTCAACCACTGACCTGACATCATTCCCACTGAGCTGCCTGTGGAAGGTCTCGGGGTGTGGGAGGACTGAAGGGGGTCTGACTAAAACCTGTTGGCCACCAAAGCTGGGCAGTGGTGGAACCACCACCCCTGGAAGCGTTGGGGAAACGTGTGGATGTGGCACCTGGGCACGTGGTTTGGTGGTGCTGGGGGGAACAGCTGGGCTTGGTGATCTCAGAGGGCTTTTCCAACCTTAATAATTCCGTGATTTTGTGAAAACAACTCCGGGAAGCTCCACATCCTTCACCCTTACCTTTTCACCTGGTTAACTGTGTGAATTAAGTGGAACTCACCTGCAGTGACTCCAAGGCTCCTGTTAAGAAGGAAAAAGACTCCCAGTAAAAACTGTTCCCTCCCCAAAGCCGTGGATTTGACGTTCCTGCCCCGGGAATTTCGGATCTCTCCGAGCAGGGCTGTTTCCTTTCTCCTTGTGGCCACATCTCCTTTATCCAGCTTGGCTTGAGCCCCTCATCCTCCCCAAATTTCAGGGCAAGAAGGTTCCAGGTGGGCCTCAGATGCTGCAGCTGAGCCTGGATGGGAAGAGGTTGTACGTCACCAACTCCCTGTACAGCGGCTGGGACAAGCAGTTCTACCCCGACCTGCTCCGGTAAGGAGCCCTGGGCTCGGTTATTAACCAATTAACGAGGCAATTAACGCCCCAGCCCCTTCCCCCAGCGCCTGTTTGCTCGTGCCTTTGGCAGGGAAGGCTCTGTCCTGCTGCAGATCGACGTGGACACCGAGCGAGGGGGGCTGGCAGTGAACCCAAACTTCCTGGTGGATTTTGGGAAGGAGCCGGACGGGCCGGCGCTGGCCCACGAGATGAGATACCCTGGGGGGGACTGCACCTCGGACATCTGGCTCTGACCATCCTCCTGGGGCTGCTCCATCCCCTCCCAGAGCTTCCCAAACCTTCCCTTCATCACCAGGAGGATCAGGGCCCCTGGAGCTTTGCCCGCTGTCTGAATTCAGATTTCTCTTCCTGAGCTCTCACTTCCATCTCATTCCTGTGTCCCTGCACTGATGCCACAAAAATCAGCAATAAAATCACCCTTCAGCTCAGCTGGAGGTGCTTTTTTTCTTTTGGTCTTTCAGGCATTTTGGCATTTTGTGTCTCAGAGGCCACAGCTGTGAGGTCACTGTCGTTTGTCTGACAAATGTGTGTCCTTTTTTTGGGGGGATTCCAATGGAACTACAAGTCTGCCCTTGGAAAAGGCACCTTCTCTGCCCGTGGCCAGGGGAGGGCAGGCTGCACCTTCGCCATCAGAACTGCTCCAAGGACTGCCTCTTCCTCCACCTGGAATTTCAGGTCCTGCTTTTCCCCGGACCACAAACTACCTGACAAGGATTCCACGTCCTCAGCAGCACCTGGAGAGCAGGAGGAGGGTCTGCAACTCCCACAGTTCCCTCTGGATTTGGGGAAACACTGAGGGGAAGGAGAACTGAGAATTCCCAAGGGACTGAGGTCAGTTTGCCAACACATGAAGTGTAGGAAGAGAACTTGGGGTGAAAGCCCCGAATTCACTGTGCCCTGAGTGTGTTCAGACTGGGCTGTCCATGGGTAAACTGGTCAAGCTGGAAGCAGCATCCTGACATCCAGGAGAGAGGCAACCACTTCCCAAACACAAGGGATTGCCCTGGGCTGGCTCCCAAACCCATTAGAATACATCAAAGGGACAGAAATCCCATAAAAACGACGGGCTGGGAGAATCCACACCAGAAAAAGAACCAAGCAAAGACAATTCCTACCAGAAACCTGCAGGAGGACCAAGAGGGTCCCTGCCCAACCAGGGTTTTCCCAAGCCTGATCTTCTCCCAGACCCCTGCTGGGGCTTGTTTTCCCTGCCCTCCATGGCAAAGGAGACACAAGGAGGCCCAGCTGATGCAACCAAGGGTTTTATTGGCATTGAAAGCAGGACAAGAGCAAACCAGTGTCAGCAAACGGGCCCCTCTTCCCAACCCAGCACTGGCAGCTCTCCAGCTGGGACAGGAGCCGCTGG